GGATCTAACTGTCCTCGCCATTCTCGCCCGGCCCCTTGATCAGCCGCTTCTGTCCCCGCTTCCCCACGGGCCCCTTGGGCTTGGCGAAGGCCTGCTTGAAGGCATGCTGCTTGGGGTGCACCTCCTCGTAGAGGAACTCTGCCGTCAGCTCGGCTCCATCGTCGATCTCAATCTGTGCCCAGGAGTGGGGGTTAGCAGCTCCCTAGGATCTTGACACCCACTTTTGGGGCACCCAAAGCCCACCTGAAGCCTGCCAGTGGGGCTGGACCAAGGCTGCACAGTCCCTTGCAGATGCCCAGCATGGGGCTCTGCTCTGTCACATCTGGGTGGGCTCACACTTACCTTCTTGGCTATCTCCAGGCAAAACTCTTGCTCCACAGTGTCCAGCAACCGGCTCTTGCAGCTGGAGTAGAGCATGCGCTCCTTGATGCTGCATTTGTACCCAGGCATGGAGTAGATAAAGACTGCAAGAAGAGAGCAGGACTCGTAGCACTGTCTGGGCTCATGGCTAGGGAGCATCAGGCAGCATCCCACCATGGTCATGGCTTTTCCAGCCCCGAGAGTCCCAGTTTATTCAGTGACAGAAGGTGAGCCATCCCATCCATCAACCCTCCCCAGCACCATGACCACAGCACCCAGAGTGCCCTGCAGCATGCATGGCAGCATCAAAGGGCTTGCCAGCAGCCACCCCAGGAGGATGGCAGTTGGGAACTAACTCAAGGTCCCCTACCACACCATCCCTATCCCCATCCCTGCTTGCTCCTCATGTGAGTGATGGTCCAGGGAGAACAGGGCCCAGCACAGGCTCTAACCAGCCATTGCGAGTGCTGAGGCACTCACCGACAGACTCCAGGTAGTCTCCTTCATGCGAGTGCTTGTACAGGAAGAAATGGTAGCGAGCCGAGTCCTGGGGGATCCTCTTGGGCAGGTCAGCGACCTCCGTGGGGCTTGTGTGTACCAGGTCGATGGTCTCCCGCTCCAGATCTAGCTTCTGATGGACAGAGGGGATGGGGGAGCAGACAGGGGTGAGTGGTGGCAGCATGTGACAGGGGAGTGGAGAAGTTGCATGAGAGACCTACCAGCTGGATGTAGTTGATTTTCTTCTGCTTGAGCGCCTGGATGGCTTGCTGAGCATCCAACTGCAAAGGGAAGGCCAGGCCCTGCAGGGTCTGGTGCTTGCTCTCCACACTGATCTCAGTCTTCACCTGGGGATGGAGATCACACCAAGCGTCAGGGCAGACAGTGTCAAAGGGTGCAGAAGGGACAGAAGGAAAAACCAGCCAGTGCTGTGGCAAAAGGCTTCTCATCCAAGGAGCTGCCTGACACCCAGATCAAGGGCATTGAACTACCAAAAGTCAGCCAAGCTCAGGGTGGTGATGTTTGTCACAGTACCACTGCTCTGGGAGATCATCCATCCCCAGCCATGCACCCCGTACCCCTTCACTTCACTGCAGCAAAAAACAGCTCAAAACCAACATTTCTCAGCAAGTCTCTGGTAGGGATGCTGTGACCAACACTGGCATGTGTCCACCTCTGATCATCTCCCACCACGACCTGCAGGTGATGGGGAAAGCCCTGAAATCACAGTGTTCAGCTGCATCGGTCCCTGACAGTGGGGAGGGCAAGCCTCTCCTTGTTGGGTTTAACTGCAGCAGACAGTCATTCCCTCTGATGCTGGAGCTGGGGAATTGTAGATCCACAGCTTGGAAAGATCCCAGCCACTGTCCTCCCCGCAACCCCTGCCAGGCAGAGACTGCTGCTCATACCCCAAGCAAACACCCTAGTCTAAGAGACCAAACCCCACTTCAAAGAGGGAAGAGAAAGAGATTGTGGAGACATCGCATCGCCCCATGTGCCTCCATCCAGCTCCATCGGGGTCCCTGCCCGGGACTGGAGTGTGCTGTGGGCCAGCAGTGGGGAAGGGGGGCAGGACGCGGCAGGTGCGGCATTACCTCCTCGGGGCCGGGGTACTCTACCAGCGATGGGCAGCAGCAGCAGCCCCCCACCATCTGCCACAGAATACAGGGAGACGGCGTCACCCCGACGTCACCCCGAGGAGCTCGGCCCACCTCAAGACCCCACCCTGGTAAACAGTCCAGCAGCGCTAACCCAGGTGCACTGCAGTGAGCGTGGGTCCCTTTCCTTTGAGATCAGATTGGGAGATTTTGGATAGACAGTCCAGCCTCTTCTACTATATTTTTTCTTCTTTTCCCTCCCCCTGATAGAGAAAGGAAGAAAAATCAAGGCATGCCAAAAGAGAAACACAGGAGTTTCAGCTCACATCTCAAAACCAGCTCGGCAGTGCCAAAGCAGATCTTACTACAAGGCTGCCCTTCGCTACAGCAGCCCTTTGTGGTACCCACACCCCGGGGAGATGATGGACCCAGGTGCTTGGAGCAGAACATGCAGAAAAACACCTCCAGGAAAGGAAAAAACCGGGCATCAAGCGGGCAGAGCAGCCTACCATCTCGGTGCTGGAGTCCTGGGAACAGGAATCCTGCGAGCGTGGGGAGAAGAGACACACCGTCAACAGCATCCCGCGCAGG